GTTTTGTCTGGTTTAAGACTGCACATATATATATATATATATATATATATATATATATATATGTATATATAGTATGAGTGAGTTTGTTCATGCCTCAGATTAATGAAGTCTTTCTGATAAAAGATGAAACGTTTCAACTAATAAGAATCTGTCCAGATGATCTGACTTAAGTTTTTTGTAATCAGTGGATGTTCATTGTAGTTGACTTTTAGAGTTACCATGATTCAAGATGGCTGCCACAGCAAATTAACATTGGCAAGAAATACACATGGCTGTAACTCGATCAGTTTTCCATCTATTTGCTATTTTTCTGGTAGTAGCCGAGAGTCGTAACAAACATACTCTGAGCGCTAACAGATTGTATGGCATCATTTAAATTTTGACATTCAATTAAGTGGGCAATATGTATGTCTTAAAATATTGTTAGTTCACTCTATTTATATTTTTATCAACTTTGTTTTGATCGGTAACTGCAGGGTTTCTGAAGGTGTTTTAATCTTTTTTATTATTAATATTTTAGATGTTTTTTTCTCTCTCTCACTCGCTTTTTCGCAATGTTTAGTCAAGTAATGGACTGTTTTTAGAAAATTGTTTGTTAGTTGAGCCTCTAAGCACTAAGCAGCATTACAGATACAGTAAGACTTCTAAACTCAAAGGATGGACAAGTGCTGTTTTAACACATACAATAATAAGCTGAGAAGAACTTATTTTAAATTGGAATTTTAGGATAAAGCACTTATATTTCAGTTCATATTTTATAAGTTTAATATTCGAAAAAATACCAGGGTTAACACAGTTGGACAAACATAAAGTGGTATTTTAGCACTAAGGGGATTTTCAAAAAAATTTGACTTAAGCTTCTGCAGTAGTTGTATATTTTTAGACCTGAAAACTTCTCTTTTGCCCTCCTCGTCCGTTTTCCTTTGTTGTAAAGCACAGTTTGCAAAAACTGCTGCCATGGCCAGCTGCAAAGACCTAGTCCTTAAAAAACAACTAATGTCTAAAGAAACATTTTGAAATACTTTCACAAAAATAACAAAAATAAAAAAAATAAAAAAAATTGACCAAAACTGCAGACTGTTTTCTAGACAGAAATATATTCAAAAATGTTGGTGAGTTTTGATCAAAGAAAAGCATAATAAACTTCCCTTCATATTCCTTTTTTGTTTTAAAGATGAAGATTACTGTGATTTGGGGCAGCACGGTGGCGCAACTGGTAGAGCTGCTGCCTCTCAGCGAGCAGGTCCCTGGTTCAAACCCCGGTCCAGGGGCCTTTCTGGGTGGAGTTTGCATGTTCTCTCTGTGCATGCGTGGGTTTTCTCCGGGTGCTCCGGTTTCCTCCCACAGTCCAAAAACATGCATGTTAGGCTGATTGGTAACTCTAAATTGTCCCTAGGTGTGAGTGAGAGAGTGAATGGTTGTTTGTCTCGTTTGTCTCTATGTGTCCCTGTGATGGACTGGAGACCTGTCCAGGGTGTACCCCGCCCCTAGCACAGTGATTGCTGGACATGGGCACCGGCGACCCCTGTGACCCAAAATGGTATAAACGGGTAAAGATAATGGATGGATGGACAGATTACTGTGATTTGCTCAAAAAAGCCAATGAACAGTTTTGAGTTTCTTTTTTCAGCTGTCTAAAAGTCTGCTTGTTGCTTATGATGGTATAAACTTGGTATAAAGCTAATCAGGTCTCTCTTGTAAATGAGTCCTCGAGGCTCAATGGGATTTACCCGTCTAAATAAAGGTTGAATGAATGGTGTTGTAAAGGGAAATAAAATTCATTTATATAAAACATTTAAATTCACCAAATAACTGCTGTCATCTTCAATAAGGAAAGATGTATTTGTTGTTTTTTATCATTATTCAATTCAATTCAATTCAAATTCAAAAATATTTTATTAATCCCAAAGGGAAATTATTTTGTTGTTATAACTCGTTATCCTCATTTCATTAAGAGATGTTATAGATGCTGATGGCTGTAGACAGGAAGGATCTCTTGTAAAGATCCATCCCACAGTGGATACTAAGAAACTGGCTGCAGATGCCGTCCGATCCGTCCACCCAGACTCTGCTGGCCTCTCGGTTCCAACGGGCTGTAGGACCGCCTGAATGCCAGGCAGAACTCCTTCCAGAGTGATGGCCACTCCTCCCAGCAGTCTGCCGAGCTCCTCGTTGCTGTGGACAGCCAACTGTAGGTGCTGAGGGACGATCCTGTCCTTCCGCTGTCGTGAGCCATGTTTCCTGATAGTTCCAGGATCTCAGTGGTCAGGCACTCGAGCACAGCTGGCAGGTAGATGAGAATGTGTCCACAGAACATCCTTTTCAACTCATTTGAAATTTAGGGCTGTAGTTGAGATATTACTTGAGCTTTTGAGATATTAATCAGCTGCTGTTGGTTGTAGAAACTGCCTTGTTGCCATGGTTACCCATCATAACAAATGTCCAAAACTAAAAAAGTTTCCGTAAAAATCCTTCCAGCTGCACAGCATCTGATACCAGAGGAAACAATCATCCAAAAAATGTGATTTACATCCAGAAAAAGAGGAATTAAAGTTTCCAAAAGCAAAATCTCAGAATGAAAGTAACAGAGCTGCTCCAACATGCAGCCACCTTGAGCGGCGCAATCATGGACAGAAGTGTCTTGGTATTTTGTAACAAAACATATTATCTGAGTTTTCTCATGAAAATTATATTTGTATCACTAATTAACTGTATTCTGCTAGCAGTCGGTATCTGTTCTTCTTGATTTTTCTTCCACTTCATGGTGCACTCATTCTATTTTTTAAAGCTGAATTTCGATTAAGATTGTTCCAAATAATTGTACATATTTGTTTCTCTTATCAGAAACACAGCAAATCTGAAATGGTGCCATAAACACCAGCAGTCATTGATCTGTATAATTAATAACTAAAATCCGGTAAGACGACAGACGATCACTGTTAACGGCTGACAATGACTAATTTTTAGAGTTGACCTAATTCAAGCAGGAGGCCACAGCTAAGCGCAAACACACCACTGGCTACAACTCAACCAGGTATACATATATTGAGCTATAATTCGGTGCGGTTGTACCCAAGACGTATCCCAGCACATAATCTCAGCACTAATTCAAGATATTGCCAAAAAATTAGAAAACATTTACACAACTATAATTTAGTCCATTTTACAGATATTTCACTGTGTATAAATTTCGTATGGTAGTACTTAATATTTATCCCAGATCAGATTATAAATGCTACTTATCATATGAAATCTTTGCTCACAATGTTAACAATAACTGGAGTTGATGATGTTGGCCTGTTAGCAGAATATCTCATAAATTGCTGATCGCATCACTGGCAATACACCTACAACTGATTTACGTTCTGAATCAATCCTGTCATTAAACTCTGGCATAAAAGGCAGCGAGCGAAATGCTTTCCTTCAAGGAATGTTGGGTCTTTACTGTCTTTTGTGCTCGCAGGTAAAACGACTTGGAGGAAATGAGGAAATGTATTTCCCACCATTGACAGCTTTGCTGCACTCTGTAGCTCAGACTGAAGAGACATTTTTAATATGTGCTCACAAGGAACCAAAAGTGAGAACTTCCATCCATCCATTATCTTTCACCCGGGTCACGGGGATCACTGGTGCCCATGTCCAGCCATCACTGTGCTAGAAGCGGAGTACAACCTGGACAGGTCTCCAGTCTCTATGTGTCCATCACAGGGACACATAGAGACAAATAAGACAAACAACCATTCACTCTCTCACCCACACCTAGGGACAATTTAGAGTTACCAATCAGCCTAACATGCATGTTTTTGGTTTGTGGGAGGAAACCAGAGTACCCAGAGAAAACCCACACATGCACGGAGAGAACATGCAAACTCCACCCAGAAAGGCCCCCGGACCGGGATTTGAACCAGGGACCTGCTCGCTGAGAGGCAGCAGCTCTACCAGCTGCGCCACCGTGCTGCCCAAAGTGAAAACTTGGATGTGTTAAAAAAAAAAAAAAAGATTTCCTAACATAACCCCAGAATAAAATATAAATGATAATGGTTGATTTTGCATTTTGCTCATCTAATTATTGGTGCAAATAAAGTTTATATACCTCCCGGTTCTTAGAGTCTGAAAATATTCAGGTCATTAGATCCTCATGGGTGTAATGAAAACAATAAGGAACCTCATTTAGTGTACACTGATTTTCCATCACCTAATTTCAGCAAAAAGGCTTTTAATGCACAAAACAAAAAATAATAATGTTTAAATGGACAAACATATATAAATCTCCTCCTTCTTGTTTTAATGAGAAAAACAACATGAACTTTAGCAGAATGCTCATTATAGACTAAAGCACCAAGGACAAAGCTAATAAAAAAAGTGCAAAATGAAGGCAAATTAGAAAAAACATGTTAGCAAACATTATGTTCTGATAACAGCTTCCTCGCATGCTCTAATTGGAATATTGCAATAGCTATATTATATTGCAGCTGTTTCAATGCAAGCAACAAAAATCTGTTGGCTGTACATTTTTAGTGATTTACAACAGTATTCAGCCAAAGCAGAGCGCATCTGTCCTTCTAAATCTAAATAATTTAGATGATGAGACAGGTTTTATTTCCTCTGTGTTCAAATAATTGTGAAATATGTTCACACGTCTTAATTTTTGGAGCAGTGTCAACAGAAAACCCTCAGATATGGAGACGCTAAAACCACAGCCCAGCTTTGAATTCTCCTTCTTGTTGCTTTATCCCTGACAGCTTGTGAAGCATCCATACCTAGAATGACTGCAGCCTTCGAAGACTTGGACTAGAAGTTTATAGCAGCTCACATCATTAATGCTGCGCCACAGTAAAATAGTTGAACATTAAATATTTGCTTCTAAGTCTGTAGTCGACAACCTGACAATAGACAATGTGTCTCTTTTTTCACACAACATTGCCACCTTGATGTATTAGTGACGTGCCTTTCTGCGTTGCATTGATTGCTCCTCTTTTGTCGTCTGTTTTATGTTTCAGCTTTGGGATTCAGCATGATGGTAACGGTAACGACTGTGAACCCGTTGGGAAAGGACCTTTCGTCATGTCTCCTCAGCTTTTGTACGGCACCTTCCTGCCCAGGTGGTCACGCTGCAGCCGTCAGTACATCACCCGCTTTCTGGAGTAAGTACAAGTTGATTTGTGTGATAGGTTCAAGGTTTCATGTACAAAAAAGTTTTTATTGCATCTTTGTAAAGGTCTCGGAGGTGATCAGAAGCTGCGGATAGACTGGATGTCAGCTCTGTTCAACTTCATACATACAGTATGAACTACTCAGGGTTTGAGGGCCACACTTTTTTTTTTTTTCACTTTTTGAATGGAATTACTGAAATAAATCAACTTTTTCACAATTTTCTAATTTTATGACCAGCACCTGTATTTCAAATGTACTTTTAATCACTTTTTGTGATTTATAAGTGTATTAAGTGCAGGATCAGTTCTCATTTAATTAGTAGATCCCACACCGGGGGCAGCTGAGCCTCGTCATCCTCCTCCCTGCTCCGCAGTGATTCACACATCAGATTGTACACAAAAGCGCAGGAACTTATGCACAGTGCAAAACTTTAATTATATTTGTATTTTTTTATAAAATTGCCCATGACTTTGAACTTTCAGGGGCGGAGATTTTTTTTAAGAGCAGAAGCAGAAATGCGAAGGAACAGCTCTGATGTGAATTCAAAAAAGTTCAAGACAAAACCAGCTCTGATGTGATGTTAGGAAGCTTTGTTTAAAATTATAGTTTTATTTAGTTAATAGTTTTACAGTCACTCTTTGTCAGGCGGGTTGAAAAATATGCAGTGATCCTTCAAATGCGCAGACACGAACGTGCACCTCCTCCTGTCCTCCTGTCTGCTCCAGACCACGCAGCTAAATTGCTCCACTCTAACGGGCATTGTAGAACCAATCTGCACATGCGTCTAACAGAAACTGAAACTTACCACTTGTGTATGTTGACCTGCTTCAAGAGTGAGTCATTGACAGATGTGGTGGAGATAATCTGGTGATTTTCAAAATAAAAGTTTTTTTTTTCCTGTGCGGCGCAGTATAAATTGACCCACGGCCCGGTACCGGTCCACGGCCCGGTGGTTGGGGACCACTGCTCTAAAAGATCACAGCATGTAATGAACTCAGCTCTCTGTCATGGCTGCACTCTGCACCCTCGGCCACGCCCACTTCTCTGCTGTAGAACGAAGAGGAACAAGAAGGGAGGAGGAGCTGCAGGAGAAAGTTTCTCCTGCAGGTGTGGGCTGCACAAATGTGCTAAATAATTTTAAATACCAGTAATTCATTTTAAATAAAAATTATTTATGCCGATCGTGCGGCTTCAGTCAATTGTGTGTCATGTCCAATCTTATTTTGAAAAACCGCGATAGAGTGAGTCTTGCGAAAAACGAACCGCAAAGTAGCGAGGGACTACTGTATTGTTAAACAATGGCTGCTGTTGTCAAAGTAAATACAAATACTTTTTCTACAATCTACTTTGACAACTTTACATATGTGCCGTTTTAAATACAATTCCTATAGTTCCCTCAGACACGAACGAATCAATCAGAATCTGCATTCATGTTGAATTAATTTAATTTAAATGGATAAACTCAGTTCCTGCCTTTCTGAACTGTTTTGAAATGTCGTGTTATTATAAGCTGCGATGTGACAGATGTCCCGCCGACTTTGAACCATTAGTGGTGGGAGCACGCTGACAGCTTTCCTCAGACACTGAACCAGATCAGTGTGTGATCTCACTACGCCTTCAAATCTTTATTGTTCAAACTATTCTCTGCTCTCATTAAAACTGTGTATCCCTGTTGATTTGTTAATGGCTACCCTTATATAGCATGTCTTCATTATACAGCTGCCAAAATCACAAATGTAGTTTAAACTGAAAATAGGCATAAAATTCACTCGCCTTAGCATTTCTAATCCTGAGAATTCCTTTTTGTATCAACATGGATTACAACCTTGTGGTATAGCGAAGAAAATTTCAATACTCCCTTATCTTATACCTTACTCCACAGCTGATAAATGTGTTTATGCCTCTGTGTGATCTGTTTCCAAAGATGACTACCTTAACATGGCACTGTAGATAAGGAATCCCCAGCTGTAATGAAATAGAAAAATTTTACAAATGAAAAACATGGCTTCAAGATTTTGCCAAGTTTTTGGACTCTTCTGGTAAGTATGTGCTCCTGCATTCCCAGCAGAGATGGTGAGGAACTTTGCACATGCTGATCTCCCAAACAACGGCTGCTGGGTGTCATTATTTCTGTGACGTGAGACCATGAAGCGCTGTGAATTGTGAGCTTTGTGCTTTTACCTTCAAATTTAACGAGCGGGGGTCATTCAATCAGTGTTCAGGGACTCATACTGTTGGATAATTTAATTATCCTATCATCAACTCATTAAATAAATAGACACGCAGGGAAAACCAGAAGATCATTTTTTAGCCCAGTTTTAATATTGCAAGAGGAGCAGCGTTGAAATACAAGCATCAAGGTGTTACATGTCAATCCATCTCCAAGGTCTGCTCCCAGAGAAAGAGTTAACAAAAGCTTAAATACCCGTTATCAGACAGAGGAGAGGTCAAGACCACTCTGCTTTCTGTCTTAAGGCCTAGAAGTTCATCAGGTCTGCAGGCCCCGTGCTCCTGCAGGCTCCACTTTGCAAAGAAAACACCTCTAACTCAACAAAGTTCATGCTCGATCATCCAGGTATCAAATCCAATAATTCTCAGTCAGGTATTCTGGGCTCTAACACACACAGTGAAAAACATCCATGACCTTTACATCCCCCATCACGTACAGTTAACCTGCTTAAAATAAGTGTTAAAAAGAAGCTGCAGTTAACATTTTATTTGCAGCTCATTGGACAGGAATATGCTCATCAGCCATATCAACTTGAAATAAAAGCCAAAGAGTACATTTTTCCATTTTATTCAGTCAAGTATAACATATTTGTCCTGAAATAAACGTTGTCACTAAAAAGAAAAAAGTATATACTGTAATTTCTGGACTGTTGAGTGCACCCAAATATAAGCTGCACCCACTACATTTAAAATATAATAACTTTGTACATATATAGGCCGCACTTGTGTATAAGCCGCGAGTGTCCATGTTGTAACGTGAGACATTTACACAGAAATATTTTTTTTAAACTTTAACAGCATTTTTTTTAACAGTGCCGGTAGCATGGCTGGTTAAAAATAAATACAGTAGCCACCAGGAAGTCATTGATCACTATTTTCATCTTCCTCCTGCAGAGGATTTTTTTTAAAACCACTCCTCTGTCAGCATCCACTGGCAGGCTGGAGCAGAAGTTGCTCTTTGCATGTCGCCAGTTTTGGTAAATGATTTCTCACCACCAGTCATCCAAGCCTCCCATCGAACTTCGAGTGTCACGTTAATACACGATTCACACTGATATTGAGTGACTGTGAATAACTTGTTGTGCCCCCAGGGAGGGGCACAAGTTGCCCGTCCTCATTCTCTCCTCCACTCCTCGTTTCATTGGTCCACTGTGACCTGTTCGGTAGTTTCAGACTGTTTTTACCTTTATTTATACAGGTAGTCTCATTGAGTCACGAGGGCCCCCCCTCCCCAGGAGAGATGTGCATTGGGCAGCTATGTGAGCACTGGGGTGTGATGAGGCTAAACATTTTGGTGGCAGGAAGCTCGTTAGTCCATCAAAAACCAAAAATCCATAAATTAGCCGCAGCGTTATATAAGCCGC